AGCCAGTCTGCTGGCCTGTGGGATCTGCCAGGCCTCCGGCCAAATCTCCATTGTCCCATTCACAGGGCTCGAGGGATTTGAGAGCTATCTGGTCCTCAAGCATGTCCCTGAGGGCGCTCAGGAATACAGCTGGTACCGGGGTGCCCGTGACAGTGAAGAAGATAAGATTGTTAGCTACAAACCTCCCTCCAATTCCTGGCAGCCTGGGCCCATGTCCAGTAGCCGGGAGAACGTGACCAAGACGGGTGACCTGGAGATCAAGCAGTCTATGTTATCCGACGCGGGGAACTACACCGTGCGGGTGACCCTCAGCAGCGGGACCCAAAAAGCAACTAGCTGGCTGGCGATTCAAGGTGATGTGACAGGTTGCCCCATCTCCTGAAGGCGGGAGTCAGACCCGGAGGCGTTGGGAGCGAGGTCCCTTGGAGATCTTATTGTTCAAGTGCCCCGCCCTCCCCCGGATGACCCTAGGAGCGCTGGCAGGTGGTTGTCAGGCTTCTCCTGCAGACAGGTCACTCACCACCTTCAGGGGCTCCAGTTTCATTAGTTATTAGTCAGCTATTAGGAGCGCAGCACAACAAATAGCACCCACTCAGCAGCCAAAAAACAGCCCCGTTTATCACTGCGCTGTTTCTGTGTGTCAAGGCTCCAGGCGCGGCTCAGCCGAGTCCTATGCTCATAAATGTTGGCTCATAAATGTCGGTTGTGGCCGTGTTCTCAAGCGTGGCTCTGTACACAGACCTTTCACACCGGGGCTGTGTACTCCTCAGGGTCAGCCGACCTCTCTCTCTAGTCTACTGCGCAGTTGTATCTGACCCGAGGTCATGATGGGCGTAGCAGCCATCACCGTTGCTATACTCTGTAGGTTAATCGCAGGTCCCACTGGTATATACCGCATGACCTTGGGACTTTGTCTTGCCCCTGGGATCCTCAGCTTCCTCATCGGCAGAATGGGGGTGGCATCGACGATTGTGGTCTGCTGTAAAGCTGGAGGGAGCATCAGTAAAGTAAATGGGACTCAGAGCAATCCCTACGGAGAGTCTGAATGCCACCTCTCGCTGTGAAGTCCACTCACGGCTCTCCGGGTGGGAGGTCCTGATTTGGGGGTTCAGGAACAGCCATTCTATCACATGCTCCTGCCAAGAACTGACCGCTGTTGCAGGGGATGCCACAGCAATGGCTTGGCACATAGGACGATGGGCTCAGGCAACTGCCCACATCTCGGCCGCCTCATGCCCACTCCCTACTTCTCTGTCCCCCTTAGTTCCAGGGATGCTCTCCTGCCAAGACCCCAGGCCCCATTCAACAACTCTTGGTTTCTCTCCAACATACCCCAGCCCCCCCCTTGGAGACAAGCAGAGTTTGGGGAGGAAGACCCCACTTTTAATCCCCATCTTCACACAGAATGGGTGGGCAAACCCAACATCTCGGCCAACGCCACATCTGTGGCAGAGAACCTGGATCCCGTGGTCGCCTTCTGCCACACCAACGTCACCAACACCACCAGAATCCAGTGGTACATGAATGCCTTAAAGGTGTCCAGCAATGACCAGGTGACGATTTCCCCGGACCGCAAGGCCCTCATCATCCACCAGCTCAGCCGCTACGACTTCACAATTCAGTGTTCCATAGACAACGTCCTCGAGATTCCTCAGAAAAGTGACATTATCTTCCTGACTGTGGCCTGTAAGTGGTCTGGCGTCATGTGTGTGAAGCTGGGTTGGAGGGTAGGCTTAGGGTCTCCCAGGGACACAGGGATGAAAAAGGCAGAACCAGAGAAAGGTGACATCCTGGGCCAGCCTGCAACCCAGCTGGATCTGGGTTCGAACCCCAGCTCTGGCTACTTAGCTCTTTGGGCTTCAGGGAGAGGGCAGTTTCTGAGCTTCACACACTGCTTACTGGTTGGAGATTTGAACCATCCCCAAGCCCCACGGGCTATGGCTGATCAGGGAAATCCCCCTCCCCCGGGGCCATAGGGGGACTTGCTTAAAACCCTTTTGTAGGTCAATAGAAGGCGGTTTAATCTCCAATCCTCTCCTCTGGGCCTTATCTTCTTCATCCACCAAATGGGTCAACTGCATGGATTGCTGTGGGAATTAATTGAATGTGTAAAGCATTTAGAACAGTGCCCGGCATGCAGTGGGCCTAGTGCGTTTGTTTCTACTCTATACCTGTTTTATTATGACATAAAGGGCTACCATTGGTCCATATAGTGCATGCTTCATAACGGAAGGCATTATTATTGTCATTCTTGTTGGCCCAGCTGCCTTGCCTGGGGTAGGTCCAGGGGTCCTCTCAGGGTGCAGGGTCGGGTACTTCCTGGCTGGGAGGAGGACCTCATGTGGTTTGAGGGAAGGAGACAGGACCCGGGATGGGAGGGGCAGAAACACAGCTCCGGTCTCTGCAGATGGGCCCGACAGCGTGATGCTGAATAGCACGCCCTCCGCACTCGGCGGCGTCCTGTCTACCGAGGTGGGCTCCCAGGTGCGGATGCAATGTTCCTCCACTTCCCGCCCGCTGTCCACCTACCGCTGGACCCACAACGGCTCCTTCCTGAGCTCAGAGGCCAGCGTCCTGCTCCCGCGTCTGACCTGGGAGCAGATGGGCAGGTACAGGTGCTTCGTGGAGAACTCGGTGACCCAGCTGACCATGTACAGGGACATCCGGATCCAGAGGCCCTGTAAGTGCAGCTACTCCCCCTCTGGGGCGCACACGCTCTGAGGCTTCCTACCTCCATGCCTTTGCCTAGCCAGCAACCATCCTCAGGAGTGCCATCCCTACCTTGCCACGCCCTGCTCACAATGGTTGGGTGAACTCCCCCCATCCTCTGAGGTCCGAGCCCAAAGCTGCCTCCTCCAGGAAGCCCCCAGAGTCTGCGCGTAGTGGTTACTAATCAATCTTTGAAGAGCAGGTGTGTGGGTGAGGGAAGGGATGACTGAATGGTGGTCCTGACTCCCATGTATCCTCTCCTTCCAGGGCAAATGCCTGTTATTAGAACAGGTTTCTACCTCTCAGGACCCTTAGTGGTGTTTTTCATTGTGATGACAGTCCTGGGCAGTGTCTACCTCTGCGGAATCCTGATCTACATTCTGATCAGCCGTTTCTCCACCAGGTGCCTGATGCTTGGGGTCAAGGGGGCTGGAGGTCAGGTTTAGAATATTGGCCCCTGTCATTTTCTTGCTGTGTGACTTCGGGCAAGTGATTTCACCTCTCTGAACTCCCATTCCTTCACCTACAAAATGGGGTTCAAGTAGCTACCTGTGCAACTGTAGGGAGGGTTCAAGATAATTTCTATAAATCATCTACTATAGTGCCTGGCATATAATAGGTGTGAAATAAATCATCATCATCATCATCATCAGTAATTAGGCCAGGTAGTGCCAACTCCTTCCCCAGGTATACCCAGCCTCTTTTCCCTCCATCTATCGCCTGCCCATGGCATCTTCCTCCAGTGACCTTAAGATCTCAGAAATATTAAAAAGTATGGGGAATGTTGAGGACTCCTGGTGTAGGGGTTTAGCCCCCTAGATTCCTACTCCTGGGGTCCCTCCAGGGGAGGGCTTGGAAGGAGAAGCTGACCCCTCAACTACCCAGTACTCTCCTGCTTTCTCTCAGTTTCCTATGGACCTGAGGTGTGACTTCTTCCCTGATTACTTCCCATAGGACAAGCCGGGCTATATGAGTGTCCACCTCAGACCTGACCGATGAGACCAGATAAACCAGGAGGTAAGGGAGGGGCGGGGCTGATGGATAAAGACTGAGAGTCCTCACAGGCGAGCTCGGCTAGGGGATTAGTACTCATAGGGGACAGTGAGGAGAGGGGACAGGGGCAGTCACACTGAGGTTGGGAGATGCAGGCTCCTAGAGGTCTGGAGACCCCGCCTAGGACCTGGGGGTGTGACATCATGGGCAGGATAACCACTGGCTGCCCCATCTGTCCATCAGAGCGGCCAACCGGCCGCAGGCCTGGCGGGGGGCTGTGGTGAGCGAAGCTCTGTGCTCTGACTCCAATGCTTCTTCCACACCAGCAAGTGTGCTTCCAACCCCATGCCCTGGACCTTCAGAGACGCTGCAAAGATGTCCCAGCTCAGCATTGCCTGTGGCAGGGAAGCGGCACAACCTATGAAAGCCCAGCAGCCCGGAGTTGCTTACAGGGGGCACAGCACTGTTGGGCTCATCTGTCACCTGTTGGGGACCGTGCTGTGGGAAGATGCGGCCTGACTCAGAAACTGCTCACAACTTAAGTGAGAAATGTGTAATGCGAAGCAGCGCACGACAGGACCACAGTTATTAAAAAGTATACATTAATTTGTTGATATAGATATAGTATGTATGGTATGTATATATGTGTTTCGCAGAGATTTGCGTGTATACACACGTATATACACACCTGTACAAAAATTGTAGAAAATATTAACAGTGCTGTCTCTTCATTTCCTTCTTTACACATGACTGTATATTCTAGTGTTTTTTTTCTCACAAAATGTATAAATTGCCTTTATAACCAGAAAAAAAACATACGCACAATAAAGTTAAAACAGCATGAAGTGAGTTCAGATCCCATGGTGAACGTTTCTGGAACTTTCTTTCTGAGCTGTCTTTATGGGTGCGCCCACGAGTATCTAAACAAATTTGTTCATCACTATGGCAGTTACAATAAAATAATGAACGGAAGGACAAAGAAAGAAAGCAGCAAGGAAGGCGACTGAGCAGGCAGACTCCTTGCTGGCNGGGAAGGACAAAGATAGAAAGAAAGCAGCAAGGAAGGCGACTGAGCAGGCAGACTCCTTGCTGGCTGAACCTGTGGAGGTGTGGACACCAGCCCAGCAGCTGCGGGCATCATTGCCTGACCGCTGGAAGGTTCACAAAGACTTAAGGCAGTGCCTGTACACAAGGCAAACCCCAATCTGACCCCAAAAATAACTTGATTGCATCTGCAAAGACCTTATTCCAAAGAAAATCACATTCACGGGTATCAGAGCTGAGGACACAATCCAACCCACAACAATAGGTGTTTATTATCAGGATTATTGGGCCTCCGATGGTTCCCACTGTCCTTTCCCACCTTCCTCCTGAGCTCCAGACCACCCATTTATCTAGCTTTGGGCTGGATGCTGGTCCCCATTGATGTCTTGTTCCACCTATTGATGCATCATTGGTTCATGTGCCCTGACCCAGGACCGAACCCACAACACTGGTGTACTGGGATGATGCTCTAACCACTGAGACACCTGGCCATGGCTAAAACCCATTTCTGGATTTAGGAGGAAATGTGCCATTAAAGAAGGAATCATTATGCCTGGGAGGTTGGATTTTTATAAAAAAGAGATGATAGTTATAGAAAGACAGAGAATGTTGTGGGCACCCCAGGACCTCCCCCTGGTCCCCCATTCTTATCACCACACCCCAACCCCCCCAAAGGAGCCCCTAACCTCTCTTTAAAGCTAAGTGTGTCCTTGTGTCTTATCACCCCAGCATGCTGCCTTCAATACAATGGCTTGGCATGTGTTTTTCTTAAGACTTATACATAGGAAAAAACTACAGTCTGATTTCTTCCATTCAAGTTCAGGAATCTGCCCATCCCATAATATGCCCTTCCCAGAACCATTACCCACAACCTGGAGTGGAGTCAGAGCTGTGATCACAGAGGAGGGAAGCTGCAGGGTTCGATCATGCATAGGCTCTCCCACGCCATCCCAATTCCTGAATTTTCAGTACGTATCCTACCCGCAGCCCCACCCCCCTCCTGGGCCCCTATCCTGGCCAACTCACTCTCTCTCCACAGGACCGAGTTGCAGCATCTCTGTGGTCAGGAGGACTGGGCCACTCCAGTCTGTTTCCGGTTGTCCCCAACTGCAAAAGAATGGGAAGGAGAGACACTGGTGGGAAACCTCAGATAAACTGCAAAAGAGGAACTTATAACCCACAGGCTATTGGATCTGGGAAGCCTTCTAGCCTGGCTTCTTCAGTTTGCAAAGAAGAGAAGGAGGTCCAGAGGGAGCAAGGGAATTGCCTAGATCACAGGAGTGTTCTGTCTCATGCACCATTGTGCTCATGGGGAGCCACTTCATCAACGTTTGTCTGCTGGAAAACAGGAAGATCTTGTGTTACTCGGAGAGGGCAGAATTGTCAACTCTTCCCATGAAGTGAAGAAGGAAATTTCATTCATTCATTCATTCAGTCAGTCAGTCAGTCAACAACCATCTATCTACACACTGTGCCCTCAGGTTTCCAGTAAAGGGGTGAATATGAGAGGTCTAGCCCTTGCCTTTGAGGAGAGCAACATCTGGTTCGGAGACAGGCAAGTTACCTGAAAATTCCAGTGTCCTAGGATAGGTGGCTGTGATAGAGGAGGCACAGGCGGGGGATGGNTTCATTCATTCATTCAACAACCATCTATCTACACACTGTGCCCTCAGGTTTCCAGTAAAGGGGTGAATATGAGAGGTCTAGCCCTTGCCTTTGAGGAGAGCAACATCTGGTTGGGAGACAGGCAAGTTACCTGAAAATTCCAGTGTCGTAGGATAGGTGGCTGTGATAGAGGAGGCACAGGCGGGGGATGGGTTGGGCTCTTGCTCTTACGGGCTGGAAAGTGAGTTCTCAGGGAGAAACAGGCCAAGTGGACATGGTAGGGGCCCTCAGGCAGTCACAAGGGATGTAAATTCTGCAGATGATCCTGGGAATTACTGGACTCAGGTATCGTGTTCTCAGTCCCACTCGCTCTCCCACGGTGTTGGAGATCCTCCGCCAGCTACCAAGTGATGTGCAGTTTGTGACCAAATCCACCTCCACCCTAGCAGGAGTCAATTCACCATCCATAGGGGGCGCGCTCCCTCTGCCCAGGACAAATCGTGGCTTCTGGGGATCCAGAGACAAGGGCGATGGTGCTGTCCGTGGTGCTGATTCAGAGCTGAGGCAGGATATGACGTGTGTGTGTGTGTGTGTGTGTGTGTGTGTGTGTACTGAACACTGGCCTTCTAGGCCAGTGTATGATTAATGTTATGTGTCAACTTGACTGGGCCACAGGATGCCCAGATTAAACATTTCTGGGTGTGTCTCTCAGGGTGTTTCCAGATGACACTAGCACTTAAATCTGTGGACTCAGGAAAGTGAATTGCCCTTCCCCAGTGTGGGCTGGCACCATCCAATCCACTGAGAGCCTGAACAGAACCAAAACCAGGGTAATATGTGTGCATACTACTTATGTGGTTACTTTTCACATTTTCACACTTAACACAGGCAGTCTGTCCAGACATATCATCTTCCCCTTCCATTCGGAGCCATACGACAACTTCCATTCTGAACCATTTTGAGCCAAACTTCCATTCTGAACTTTTCAGTTCCATACGACAACTATTTCTCTTTTTAAATATGTTTGGGAAGTGGATGTTGCATTCAATCAACTTGACGGAGGCCAAGGGGAGAGAGAGAGGGTAGAACTGAAATGGGGTTCAGTATGCGCTTCCTAGGGCCCAGGACTCTGCTCTGTTTTCTGAGACTCCAGTATTTGCTAAGATTTTTCTCCACCAACCCAGAAATGTAGCTTACATTGGGGTTTGTGCTTGAACCCGAACTCAGAACAATGTGATGAAAGATGGTAAGCTCAGGTGACCCTCAAAGACAGAACCAATGATATATAGGGCTTCTTCTCTGGATGTCTTTTCATTAATTTTACCCAGGTCTGTCCACTCATATGAGTGGGACTATGTGTCCATTGGGGGGAATCAGTAAAAATTACCAGGGTCCTCTGGGCCCAAGGTTTTCCCCTATATTTCTGAAAAGGTAACTCTCTTTGGGATCAGGAACTTTTCAATGCCATACGACAACTATTTCTCTTTTTAAATATTTTTAATTGATTTTTTGAGAGAGAGGAAAGGAGAGGAAGAGAGAAACATTGATGTGAGAGCGAAACATCAGTCAGCTGCCTCCTGCACACCCCTTACTGGGGGATTGAGCCTGCAACCCAGGCATGTGCCCTCCCTGGAATGGAACTGTTGTGACTGAGGGACAACACTTAACCAGCTGAGCCAGGGCCTGAGTCTCAGTTTTACAGCCACAGGATCTCTGGTCTCCTGGGTCTCAGAGACCTGAGTCTTTGGACTCCTTGGGCCCCTAGATTTCAGTTTCAGGAGTCTCCGAGGTCCTTGACCACTGGAGGGGAAATGGACTCTCTAGCTCCCTGGGTTTGAGTGGGAGAAAGTTGTCCCTGGAGCCCTGGTTTTCTCAGCTGTTTGAATCTCAGGGATGTGGGGCTCCAGGCCTTGGGGCTCCTCGGCTGGGGGTAAGGGAAGAATCTAGGCTCTTGAGTTACTGGGACCCAGAGTCTCCATGATCTGGGCCTCGGGACTACTGGGCTTCAGGAGTCTGCACCTTCAGACCCCTCAGTGTCCTAGTTGGGGTCTGTAGGGTCCCCTGGTTCCCTAGGGACCCCTCTCTCGCCCTCCATCGTCGAGCTCCACCTCCATAGGATGGGAAGCGTGCACTCGGTTCCTTGGGCGGGGCCTGCACAGTGGATCGCAATCACACCCACTACCCGCAATCACACCCACTACCCAGGGCCAGCCAGGCGCGCGTAGAGACCCCCCACACACACACCTCCCCAAAATGACTAACAGCTGACGCACGCCGAGGCCTCAGCTCCCGCACTGCCTCCTCTCCCCGCTGCACACGCTCACGCGTGTCTACCAGCCCGGCAGACGCTCGGAAACCCACTCCGAGCCCACCCTCGGAACCCCCGCCCGGTGCACGCGCGGTCTCCTGCCTGGACCCTCGGGCCAACCCCGCCCTCCCGCCTTCACTCTCCACCCGCAACCCCGCCTCGAAGGGTAGAAATCATACGCCCTCTAATCCCTTACAAACCCTGTAATAATCCCACAAACGCAGGTAATGCGAGCGCAGCCGCTTCGCCTTCCAAGCGCCCTGCACCGGGACGGCGCAAGGTCCAGGCGCAGGACCCACCTACAGCTCGCGCGCGTCCCGGGCCTGGGCGCAGGCGCAGAAAGGAAGCGGGGCACTGCGCTTGGGGAGCCGTAGGCGGAGCACACGGGGCCATAAGGGTTGCTGGGAGTCGTAGGCCAAGCGAGCTCGGTCTCCACGGGCGCTGGGAGCAGAGCTGTTGCACGGGGTTCTGGGAGCCGTAGGCGAGACGGCCCCGAGGCCTTGTGGGAGTTGTAGTCTCTGGAGCCACTCCCGTGCCGGGCTTCGGCGCGTCTAGCCGCCCCAGCACCACGTTCTGCACAGGTGAGTATTTCCTGCTGTGGCGGGTGGGCCCGTGGGCGCCTGCTCTTGGCTGCGGTGCTGTGTGCGAGTTAAGGGTCTCTGGGAGGTGGGGGTGGGGTGGACTCACCTTTGTGATTTCCCAACGCCTGTATCCCCGAGGCCTTCTGGCCAGGATCCCCACTTGGGACACTCTG